CTATGCTAAGAACCTTAGTGCTTTTTGGATAARGACTTAACCCTCCAGGCTGCAAAAATAATCGTTGGGGGAAAGAGAGAAGGAGTTTGACTGCTGGGACCTATTGATCTACTTTGTTTTTCACTATTTGCTATTGCCATAAATATTTTTTTAAGTAAGCATCCCCACCATCTGCCACTTACCACTGTGTTCTTTTCACAGCATCAATACTATAAACACAGTCTGCTCCCTCATTTGATGCAGTGCAGAAGAATGGAATTAAGCAGAAAATAATCACACCAAAAATAGACCTTACTATTTAAAAGAAAGCAAATTCTTTAGTAAAATGATCTTCAGAATAGATTATTTCAACTTCCACAATCTTACAGACCTGTTTTGCTAAGCATCTCCAGTTAACTAAAAAGAGCTCAGGACTACTTCTTTTGAAATCACTCCACTTGACAAACAGATCTGTGTCCATAAAATGAAAGAATTGCTTAAAATAATTAGTTTTAGTTGTAGTCATTAAACTATTACAAAGAGTATTTTAATATTCTTACATATTTTGTCTTGTAGAATATTTTCTCTGTTTTTGGCGTATTTTACTGGCTAGTAGCAGAGACAGATCAACCCTCAAAGGAATTACCAAAATTATATTTCTATACTAAACGCTCTAGGCATGCCTTAGATTAGAGAAATAGATTAAACTCAATCTTCACACAGTCCAGCCTGTTGAAGTAAGCTTTCAAAAGATTGTTTCTCACAGAGATTTTCAAAATAATACATCTTAACTGCATAACTTCAGGTCAAATTAATAAGATCATACATCTCTGCAAGCTGAGCAATGTGAATCATCACTGCAATTTCTACCACAGTAATATCATTCACAGATGTATAAAATATTTTTTTCTGGAGACATTTTTGGCAAATTATGTACATCCTCATAGGTTTTTGACCTAGATAACTTGCCTGACTCACCCCTGTATCTTAACACAAGTTCTAGATATCTAAAGTTTTTTTGGTGAAATACACAGCTTGGTTTGTTTCCAGTTTATTTTGCATTTCCGAGACGATAAATAGAATTGTTTCAGAATTTCATAGGAGGAATATCTTTAATTCTGATGGGTTTCTTTTACTTGTGGGGGTGGCATTGTGGGTAGCATGGTTTTGCTCCATATTTTAGTAATGCTTTCCTACTAACATATCACTTTAGGTWGGATAAATATCATTGTTAGATTGTTAAGATTATAAACATGAAATCTTCATTTAGAGTATCAAAAAACCTTTCTAAAAATAAAACACAGAAAATAAGTCACTGTCTCCAAAGCTACAAAGACTTAAGAAGGAGAGAAGATAGTCTAAAGAGGTAGACTGGTAGRGGACAAAGAGCAGAATGATGTGGAAAAGCCTATGTACTTTAATACACCTGTAGGATGCGTCTCAGACATTACTTTGATGGGATAATGAACAAATTGGCTAGAAAGGAATAGAAAGCAGAACCCTGTTCTGTTTTATGTAAACTTGAATCCTTTCACAGATTTCCTCTTCTCTTTGGTCTTATATTCTTTTTCTTTTTTATACATTAAGGAGCCTAAATAATCTACTAATTATGAATACTTTCCCATTTCTTTCCATTTTCCAACTTCTCTTCCCCTCCCAGCTACCATTACTCACAGTCTTTCTTCACCCTCACAAAAGCATGCTTTCTCCATATATATGCAGAATTASAAGCCCTATTCCTAAATGAAGAAATAAGAAAGAAGCTTTTCATATAAGCTCTGTAACTCTTCTCCAGGTAAAGCTTTTCTCCCTTTTTTATAGTTGAAGGCTTCTCTCCTGACTATGTATACCAGACAATGCAGCCTTCAAAATGCTGTATCCAATACTCAGTAAATAGTTAATGCAACATTTTATATGGCAAGAAATATGCACTTCACAGTGTAAGCATCATTCCAAAACTGACACCCTGCCAGCATTCCTGTCTATTAGATACCTGACAACTTTCTTGTTTTTCAAGACATTTAACTGTACAAATTGTTACTTCATCAAAAAAGTTCTCTTTTGAAATGCAAGTCACAATGCACAGTGTTTAYTTTTGCATTAAATAAATTCTATTAATATTTCATCCACATTTACAACAATGGTCTTTACAAATCAATCTTTACAAATCAAATGCCTATTTAGCTGTTATCTACATAATTTTAGCATTATATCTTAAATTCAAAGAGTGCTGCCTGTAATCTTGTTTTATAAAGTTGTAAGTATTTCCTACAAGAAGTAGAGCACACACAACTCTTCATTGAGACATATGGTCTCTCCTAGATAAATTTTTGTCTTGTTTAGCCTTTGGCCAGAGCCCACCATCTGTAGTTTCAAATCTTCTTCCAGGTGCTGAGAAAGGTGAGGTATAGAACATATGCTGCTCAGAGTTATCTTTACATTGGATTCTCATTTAAATATTCAGAGAGATTTTTCAACAATATTTGTTAAGGTAAAATTTGGAGGTGCAAAATTCATTTTCGATCAAATCCTGATCTTAAGAAAGTAGGGATAGTGCTCAAACAATTTCAAAAGAGTTTAGGTTAGTTACTTGTGGGAAAAAGATAGCTTTATACTTTAGAGAGAAGGTTATATGGGGAAAAAGAATGTATTATCTCTTTGTATTTCTCACAAATGTACAAAGAAATGAAATCCACYATCTCTCATTGTGAGCTGAGAATCGGCGTTATTAACATTTTGTCATTTAAACAAATATTTTTGATTCACTGTCAATTTTATCCTGAAATGATCTTGATGAGTTTCAAAATGGTTGATATTCACATAATAGGTGTCTAAAATTACTTGCCAAGGCATAATTACTGAGCACACCATTTCCATCAACTTAAATATCACTATTTTAACCAAGCTTTGGTCATAAGGGAAAGCAACTACACAGCAAACATATGTCTGCAGCACACAGCTTCCTTCCCATTTCTAATAACTTGGCACAGTCAGCAGCATCTGCTCCCAGGAAGCCCAGGAAAAGAGCAGCAGGTAGTGCTGCAGGACAGGAATCGAGTGAATTAGCGGAGCTACAGGTATGCCAACAAACTTGTATAATRGCTTCTAGACTATGCATGGTCACATACAGTGAAAGCATTCCATGAGTACCAAAATTCATTACATTTAAGAAAAATGATTATAGCCATATAATCTAATGATGTACTCAGCAGGGTTGCACACCTCAAACGGTTTGCTTGTGACCCTGAACAAAATAAAAGCTGCTGAAGGAATAAAAAAAAAAAAAAAACACTATATGTTACATGGCTGACAAGGATTTAATAACAGATGGGGAAAAATGACTTGAAATACACACCTGGAAAACCAATGCAAGGAAGAGTAATAAAATAGACCAGAACTTAAGACGGTAACATGTGTAAAGAAGTATTTTACAACCTATTGGGAACTCAAAATGTCACATCTGTTCTGTTGTTGAACTCGCTTCCAATTTTGGAAAATCTACTGCCCTTCATGTCTTTCTTACATGCAAAGCACAACATTTATTTTTCAAAAGTAAATAGTAAAAGAGATGCTTATGAAATAACTAGATAAAAACATTTTTACTTCAGAGAACTGCACTGAAAGTAAATTTGAAAACAGAAAAAAAACCATTTTAAGCTTCAATTTCAGTAATTACTTTTAATTTCCTTTCATAATGTTTTCCTTTTTTTGTAAGGCTATAAACACTTTTGTTTCTTTTTCACTTCCTTAAAACATGAACAGGGAATACTGTAGATATCCTTCCTCCCTCACTGCTCTCTTCAGAAAACGTTCATTTACATATTTCTTCCAAGAAATGTACTTGACAAAGCATCAGTAATACTTTTATTTTCGCACCATTTCCAGAAATCATATTTTAATCCATGAACAGCATGCTAAGAAATCCTCACCTTAGGATTCAGTAAAGCAAAACAAAACAAACAGAAAAACCACACACAAAGACAGCCATCGGGCCAAAGAGAGAAGAAAGAACACTCAGTGGAACATATTTCTAACATAAGTCAACCAAGTTCCCCCCCATCATCATTACTCAATACTTTTTAATCTCTTAAATGGATTTTTGAAGGTTAAAAGGATATACTTTTGGCTGTTTAATATTAAAAGTTATCCTTAATGCATTTTTCTGGCTTACGAGAGCATTTGGGGCATATACCATACAACCATCCGCTCATTACAAAGGTGTTCATTTTGGAAGCCACGCCAATGAATCCTTAAATAGCAAACTGCTCAACTGTACAGTGCCACATTACTGTCCAAACTTTGTAATCATGACCATTTTGCATCATATCATTATACAGAGTATTTAAAGTATCAAAAAAGTATATTTAGATGCCTCCTGTTTAGGAGATATGTTACAAGAAGGACTATTATAATTTTACAATGATCAAGCACAGATCAAAGTAAAGCTGAGAAATACCCCCAGTAAATGCCGATTTAAAATGAGCTGGAATACTTTGCAAGGTGAACATCTTAACGAAGCAGCCTAAGATGAACAATCCTAGGTTTCACCCAACAGGCATTCTGGAAAATATTAAGATTGTAAATGAAATGTATTGATACACTGATCTGAAAACACAAAGCTCTCCACTCTTTTCACTAGAAGTTGGTGCACGAAACACAAACTTGAACAGAGAACACTCACTAGTGTCCCTACACAGCACCATTTACATCAACTATAACTGAGGACGGAATGATGGAAGGCAAGGATGGGAAACAAGACGTCCATCCCTGTGGTGGCACAACCCTGGAAGACAAGTCTGAAGTGTGCTGGTAGCCACTCATATTGCTGCAGGAAGTGCTGATGAGACACACCATGGCACGTCGATCACTTTATTTGGATAGAACACTCAATTCCAGCAACTTGTCTAAGCAGCACCTTGCCATCATACTTTGGACTATTTTGGTGGTTCTGTGTGGSTGAGATCGCCCAAGCGAGTGCATTGCACAAAGACAGATGTAATGATCCTTGACCAGACCCTTACCTGATTGACCCGGGGGTGGCACTCCTGATGATCCCCTTGGCAGACACAAGAATACCGTGAGGACTGCTGCCTTGTTTCCCGAACACGGCTCAATGGCAATCGGTTTTGGAGCACCCTGGAAAAGGAACATACTTATGTAAAGTCTGATAGAAACTTCCATTACATTTTTACATATATATCTTTAATGTATTTTAAGGTTCACTAACTGTACAAAGCTATTTTTCCCCAATTAGTTCTTTACATTTAAGTAAATTGTCTTTCCCGTGTTAATCAACTTAAAATGGGCTTTATCAGCCCACGCTACAAACCTAATCAAACAGAAAAAATGAAATGATCACAAAGACAACAAAATTATACTTTGTTTTATAGCTCACCACATTTAGTGATATGAAATTACTGAGCTTAGAAAATGGCAATACTTTTTTGGTACACACAGTCGTATGGGCAAGTATCAAAGTTTTCCTGTACAATATTCCTCAGAATAAGAAAAATCTGCATGAAAAAGTTTTGCCTCAACAGACATCTGCTGCTGAACAGATCTTAATAACGAAACCATAAGATGAACCCCAGCCAATGTTTAAGGTTTTAGTCCTATCTTTTGAAGACTCATTTTTACCTCTGTAAAAAGAAAACAAATAAATAACTTTCATCGACGCCATGAGTCACAGACATGCGCAGAGCAGTAAATAGAGATAGCAATTTCTTGCCTTTTCTGTATTTTTTGCTTGCACATATAGACAACAGATGCAGTCTTACTACATTTGAGTAAACACAGACTCTTCTTGCAAATGTTGCCTGTTCACTTAGCATCCTACTTTGTCTCATATGAAACTAGGATAATAGTATTTTTGCTGGTAATAGATGTCTGCTGCCACCATGCAACTCTCTCTTATTAGCTGTATAGATCTTTTTAAGTTACAGTTGTGTTTTGACTATATCACTGCTACCAAAATTCAGATATAAAATATGAAAATATATTAATAGGAGAATTTACAATGCTTCTGTTTAGTGCCAAGACTTAGGATTTTTACTTTTGAGACTCCAGGAAGTTACTGCTGAAAACATTAGGTTAAAAATCATCATTAACGTTTGTTTCCTCTTTCTCACTTGCATGATTAGGATATCTGACATGTCCTAAGGCAAAATAAATTTGACATTTTGATTCAAAATTCAAAGTCATAAAACTCTCCATTTACATGCAAAATGCAAAGTAAGTGTATAAATGTCAACAGATTCAAATAAATTAAGAAAATGATAGTTTAGTCTAGTTAAAAATACACTCAAAGTACTCAGAGAAAATTAAGGCTCTTCTACCATGTAAAGCTACAATTTTCTTTTTTTCCATCTCCAAGTAACTGACACTTATTACTGCTCAGTGAAGATAAGGCTATAGAGCATCCTGCAAAAAAAGCCAATAGATAAATATATTTAGTGCAGTGGATTGTTAGCATTTAATGTTTAAATCTGTAATGCAAAGGCCCAATGTTAGGCAATAGCAACAAATTTTAAGAAAAGAAGTCTGAACTTGTGTAAGAAGGTGTACAAGTATTGACCTCCAGGGATCTGATTCTATATGAGAAGCAATGCAGTAATGTAGAAAAGGAGAGAGGAAGGGAAAAGAAAAAGAATCTTTTCAACAGTGCTTGCACATGTGCAAAAGCAACTCGTGTGGCTTACTGAAAAGAGAAATAGTATGAGAAAGCTCTTAACATTTCTTTGAGCTATATATGTTGAAGGACAATATAAAAAACAACATAAAAATAACAGTAATTTCTTCTGTTCATACTGTTTAGGCTCTTGATAGGATCACCCAGATTAGCAGCTACTCTGCGCCCTAGGCTGGTTAAATACGATCAGACAAGCAGGGAYGGAGGGTAACATCCTATCAGCACTGACAGCAGGCTGAGCACACCGAGCAGAGCTCTCTGCCTGCTTCCCAATGCACGAGATCAGTCTAAGTGGTTGTGCTTATGGTCACAGGATGGACGGCAGCACTCCTACGCATGAGAGATCTGGCCTCCTAAGAAGGCTCGTGGAAGGAAACGTTGCACTACCTTTTGAGCTTCAAGTTGCAAAAATCTAGGGTGTTGCAAAAATCTAGGGTTTCCCAGCACTCAACTCATTTTCCATTATGGGGCTAAAATACACGGTCCCTAACTCAAGGACCTCTCATTCTTACTTGGTACTCTTATCTTCACCTGGAGAAAACATGGTAAATACAGTTGACTATTTAGTGGTTCAGTCTGTGCATCTTATTAGATAGACAGATTTTACAAATAAATACATTTGCAGAAGGGATCATGGACTGCCTTTCACTGTGTCTAGAACAATAGGATAGGAATTGCTAGATAACATTCACAATTAAAATAGTATTACTAATGCAAGTAACAGAGCACTTAAGTCATCTCCTCTGATCTATTTGTCACAAAGGCAAACAAAATAACATGCCATAACTCCRTTTTATTTAGAAAGGGATGCAAATCAAAATCTTAATTTCAAATTGTAATTCAGAATACTATGTGTGCAGATGCACAACTGAAAGGAAGAATTTGCCATTACATGCCTTTTTAATTTGATCAATAATTACTTGACTACAAATCAAAATATTTTCTATAGCAGTGTGATGTAAAAGCTTTCATTAACAGGCCCCATCTTTGTTTAAAGCTTATACTTTCAAAATACAACCAGAGAAAATTATTTTTTTAWTTTTTTTTCCAGAGAACTGGATCTAAAACTCAGATACACCAAGAATTTTCTATTTGTGCTTCAAGATGATGGCTTTTTGTAGAACGTTATAACTGAAAAAAGCAGAAACATCACCTTACCATATATCATTCAGATTCACTAGCAAAAGAACACAGAAGCGTAGAGCAAATGATGATAATTTAGATACCCTGAGGTTTGTCAGTTGTTTAAAGATAAATACATAACCATGAATCAAAGTTACTTTACAGTGAAATAACATGTTCTCCGAAATGTGCCATTTATCATGCATTTTCCACAGGTTTTTTAGAAGAGATAAGGCACATGTTTGTTTGCCCAAAGCACTTAGCTACCATGATTTACTTACTAAAATTGTCTTTTTTTCCCCTCCTTGTACAGAAAGAAGTGAATTACGTTTCCCCAAAAAAGCACAAGTGACAATCACAGAGTTAATAAAACTTTATCAGAGGAACACAGAATAAACAAACACTTCTATTATTAAACAACCTTTTGCTGTTATATCCCTGTGCTTGCACACACTATGACAGCAAGAGAGAAGTATGTCAGATGGGAAGGTGAAAGAGAAAGAGGAAGGAAGCCAGAAAGAAATAAGAGGGTGAGAGAGCAGTTATCACTGTTAATGAAAAAGAAAGAAAATCAAATAAGTAGAAAGAAGAACTTACAGATAGGTAATAAAAGAGAAAGAAAAAATTTATCCACATTTTAATGCAGATTCAATATCTTATTAATTCATTCACAAAAAAAAAAAACAAATCATAGAATGGTTGAGGTTGGAAGTCCAACCCCGCTGCTCAAGCAAGGACACCTAGAGCTTGTGACACAGGGCGGCACCCAAGCAGGTTTTGAAGACCTCCAAAGAAGGAGACTCCACAACCTCCCTAGGTAGCCTGTTCCAGGGCTCTGCCACCCTCACAGTAAAGAAGTTCTTTTTCATATGAAGATAAAACATCCTGTGTTTCAATTTGTAGCCCTTTACCCCCTTGTTCTGGGGTCTATGACCACCACCACAWAGAGTTTTGCCCCATCCTCTTTACATTCTCCCTTCAGGTATTTGTACATGTTGATCAGATCTCCCCTCAGTCTGCTCTCCAGGCTAAACGGGCCCAGCTCGCATGGCCTTTCCTCATGAGATAGATGCTCCAATCCCTCAATGATCTTAGTCACTCTCTGCTGGACCCTCTCTAGAAGCTCCACACACCTCCTGTCCTGGGGAGCTCAGACCCACACACAACACCCAAGGTGTCGCCTCACAAGAGCTGAGTAGAGGGGCAGGATCTTCAAATACATGAAGTAGTCTCCCTATATTTTATTGGAAAAAGGTTCTTTAGCTTAAAAAAAAAAAAAAAATTTTTTTAAAGGTCTACAAAGTTCTCACTAAACGCCAGTTGCCCGAGTGAGTCTGAAAGGGACTAATGAGCTTTGGGAAGATTCTTCACTCATCTCTGGTCCATTTCTGTAATTGAGTAGAAGTAATACTATTGGCCAGACTTTTTCAGTACAAAGGACAAATGATAACATCACTCTTACAGGAAAAAGAAAAATCTATGTCTGTATTAAAAATACTTTAAGCACAACCTGCTCCATAATGATAAGACAACAGAAAAACAGGTTTATATTTAGTTTGAAAATTAAAACAAAATGACATTGTGTTGTTTTGTTAATTCAAGAATAATATAAATGAGCAATTTAGGTATAACTTAAATGAGGAGCTTTAAGAGGCAAGCCCTCAAAAAAAAAAGGAGCTATATTTCTCCATTTTTACTAGGTAGGATGGCAACCAAAGCACCAGCACTAGAGGCAAGAAGAGTAGGAGAAAATAACAATGACAAAGATGTTTATTGACTGCTGTGAGAGTTTAGAACTTCTTAGAGAAAAATGCATTGAAATTATAGCATCTCTTCTTATCTGATTATCAATGAAACTATATTTTAATATTATGAATTCAAGGTGATGAAGAGTGTCAAAAGTTTTCAATTAGTATTCTAAGAAAAGGTATTTTGCTGAAATGCTATAGAATTTCAGATTTTTCGGGAATTAGAAAAATATATATGAATATTTCCCCTGTTTGGCATTCTAGGTGCATCAAATTTTTAAAAGTGCATTATTATACCATAAGACAAGTAGACCACGTAAGACTAAATGGTTCTAATCTCATGCCAAAAAAGCAATTAGGAAATTGAATCAAGGAATTAAGGATTAATGTGAGCATGTTACACCTGTCAGCAGTAATAAGTATTTTGACAAGAACTGAATAAAGTTTGACAGTGTGCACAAATACAGATCTGATGTATAAATCACGTATTAAAATAAAAACGATGCATTAATCACTTTAATGTTTCCTAACTAAAATGGTTTTAGTACTACTTACTGTTATGAGATTTCACTATAAAC